AAAAAAAAAAAAAAAAAAAGAAAGAAAGAAAGAAAGAAATTATACCATTGGACTAAGTAAAAACTTCCAGAACTGTAATAAAAAAAACTGGATTACTGACCTGAAATCAAGCACAACAAAACCTAATTGCATAGCATGGAACTGATAGAGGGCTAAAATTATTTTTGTAATTTTTTTTTTTTTTTGCTTGAAACTTTGCTGATACTTTTTATATTGTGTTTTCTAAAGTCAAAAAAAAAATTTATTCTCAGCTCTTATAGCTCACAGTAATTGGGTAAAGTGTAGTTTTAAGACCAAAATTGAAACACTGGCCTTTCTCTTTACCTGATTTCTCCAAACCTTTGAAACCATTCATAAGCAGTCCTATTTTATGGCATTAGTTATTTGCATAAATTCAATAAGAATATGTCTTCTTTTGAAACAGGGCACATTGGAGACAAGTAATTTTTACCAAGGCTTTCACTAAATGGCATATTTTTAGATATAACCAGGCTGCTTTGAGGAATTGACCTTGGCTTTATGGAGCTAATAAAAAGTCCATGGGAAAGAATGGCCTGATATCTTGCACATGCAGTTCCTTTTCAAGGTTTCTGACCTCTGGTAAGTAGAGAACGTCATTTTCTGACAGGCCCAGGAACCTCAAGACATTTTGAGACCTAAACAAGTGAAGAATTCACCCAATGCACATAGGTACTTCAAGTATAGTCTGAGGGTGAGTCCTTGGCTAGGTTTCATAGCCGTGAGGCTTTTAAAAGGCTAATCCAAAATTTCTTATAAAAGTTCCAGCAAAGTCAACTCAAACAAAATTGGCCTGCATGGCCAATCATTATTCTTGCTGCACTTTATGCAAATAATTAGGCCAAGTGTGATACTAAACTTACTTTGAAAGCGAATTTGTCCTACTAAGATTTATCTTTGGTAAAAATGGGGAACTGAGGAGAGAAAAATTATGTTTCAGAAGAAAATTACAGAATACTTGTTATCAGATTCCAGCCCTGACCATTGCATTTGAGTTTTTATTATTTTCCTACAATTTGGACTAAATACTGAATTATTTATTTAGTAGGCTAAATAAGGAAAGTTATAAAACAAGTTTTATAAGCAAGTTTGTTTTTTTTTTTTGAGTCAGAGTCTACTTTTTTACCCTTGGTTGAGTGCTGTCGCATCATAGCTCAGAGCAACCTCTGATGGTGTGTTCTTTGGAGCTAACTCAAATTCTTGGGCTCAAGCAATCCTCTTGCCTCAGCCTCCTGAGTAGCTGAGACTACAGGTGCCCTCCAGAAGCCTGGGATTTTTAGAGATGGGGTCTCACTCTTGCTCAGGCTGGTCTCAAACTCCTGAGCTCAGGCAATCCACCCACTTTGGCCTCCCAGAGTGCTGGGATTGATTACAGGTGTGAGCCACCACGCCCAGCCCAGTTTTAATTTTCTTTATGATGTTTTTAGTTGACTCCCCAATGGAATAGTTCTTTTTCTCCTGTCTGGTATACAAATTCTCTTTTTGATTATAATCCTCATGTGCTTCATATTTCTATTATGTATCTCTTGTCATTTTACTTCTCCTGAGAAAACTACACTCATGACATTCCAAAGACCAGAGATAAGTCAAAATGTGACAGCAGCTGTATAAATCAGTGACTTGACTGAGGTCACTTTTTTTTTTTGCCACCCTGTGATGTCATTACAGTTCAGCTTTGGTCACTCTTAAAATTCCTCCCTGAGATATATCCTCCCCCAAGGTAGGACAGGACTAATTGGCAATGAACCTTCCTAGTGATGGGACTAAGTTCCAGAACACAAAAGGAGCCAAAATTGTGAGTTTATTCATAATTTACTTATTCGCAATTTCATCAGGTTTTTCTTCAAAAGACCTGATAGAAGGGAAAAATAACCAAAACCCTTCTTTTTTTTGTTTTTTGTTTTTTTCAGTTTTTGGCTGGGGCTGGGTTTGAACCCACCACCTACGGCATATGGGGCTGGTGCCTTACTCCTTTGAGCCACAGGTGCCGCCCCCAAAACCCTTCTTGTAACTGCTGCTAACTAGAATTATATTGTGGGCAACTTCAGGTGGTATCCTCAAGCTATGGGCTCAAACACACTCCACACTTAAACATTTTTTCTTAATTGTAGATATTATAAATAAATATATTCCAAATATATATTTAATATATAATAAATATATGTTATACATGAAATATATTTCTTATATTTTCTTAATCATATTTTCATATCTTGTTATTTAATGTTGGCAACAGGTAGGTGAATAGACAAGTAGACAGCTGGATGAGATCCTTGAGCCAGATATCGGGTAAGTAGCATTGGTAACTCTGAATAACATTTTTCTGAGAAGCTCCTATTATCATAATAGCCATTTTATACCTAAAGAAAGGAAGGCTCTGGAGGCAAGGACTGGCTTTGAAACCAGGACTCCACCAGACTCTCCCCCTTGCCACCCATTTTCACCTTGGAGTTCCAAGGTTGTCACAATGTGGTGGCGATGTCCTGTTGTGCAGGGGAAAAGGTCATTGAGGGGCTGACTTGATCACAGAAGGCTTCTTGGGCGTGGAAGTGGTAGAATCAACACACCTCTGAACAGGAAGGCCTGCCTGGCCAAGCCTTCATAACAGAGCCACAGAACAAGCCAGCCGCAAGGCAGGAAGGGGAGCCCCTGGCGCTGGCCACTGTTAGGATTAAGCATGGGTTAGGGCCCCAAGGTGAGAATGGCCCTTGAGTCCTAGGTTCATGGCCTCCCCTACCTCCAGAACCTTCTTGTGGTCTCCAAAATGGCTGTAGTAATAATGAAAGCTGAGGCTGTCCGGAGCAAGAATGGAAGTGTCTGTGTGGAAGGTAGGAGAGGGATAAGTAGAAGTAGCAGTCCTGGGTTCACGGTCCCTTTCTGTGAATTCCAGAGTAAACCAGAGATGTCCGTGTGGCTGTTTTCTGACAGGAAGGGTTTTCACCTTTGTTGATTAAGGCAGATTTTCAACCAACCCACGGGCAGTGTGATAAGCCAACCATGGACGGGTCAACGATGTCTGGGTACAGCTTGGGCTCCCAAGATCTCACTCCAAAACTCACCTTTTCTGAAGCTTTACTGATGGCCCTGGATTGCCTGTGCCCTTCTTGGGCCGCAGTCTCCGGTTCTGAACTACCGGTTGATGCTTAGACGTGCCCTGGGTCACCCTCTGGTACCCAGGCTCTCACCAGGCACTGCAGTGGGACACCGGACCGGGCCCCTCCTCTGCAGTAACTACTGGGCTTGCTCCCCCACGCTCCCCCCGTGGTCCCCGCGGTCCCCACCTGCACATGCACCGCCTCCTCCAGCGCCAGGCCGATCGGGTGGCCACGGTGCGTGCCCAGCACCGGGCAAAGCGCGCACACGCAGAGGCGGCAACGGCGACAGAAAAGCTCGACCACGCGGTCGCTGTGTTCGGGGCAGCGCCAGCCACCGGCCTCCTCGGACTCGCCGGGACCCGGCCCCCCAGGAACCCCGCTTGGTGGCCCTGCGCCCGCCATGCGTCCCCACCGCCTCCGCCTCCAGAGGCAGGGGGCGGGGCTCCGCGGAGAATCTAAACTTCAGCCGAGGGCGGGGCGGCTCCGGTCTGGCAGCGGGTGCTGGCTGCAGCCCACCCAGGCTAGGGTCGGGCCCGGGAGAGCCCCATCGGCGGCTTGCTCCTCCTGGACTAGGGAGGAGGTGGGCTTCCCGCTTAGTGACGCTGCTACTTTGGGAACGCTCAAAAACCTGCAGCCTGTGGGACGTGCCTGAGGGTGTGCGTTACCTGCACTTTTTGCATTCCCTTGATCATCTCTTGCCCTTTCCTCAAGAAAGATAACCATTCCCACAACTGGGAGTGTGGTGGCTGAGCACAGTGGCTTATGTAGAGGTGGAGGCTGGGGGATCGCTTGAGGCCAAGAGTACCAACCTGGGCAACAACCAAGACCCCCGTCTTTACAAAAAGAAGAAAAAGATTAGCGAGGGCCTAGTGGCCCATGCCTGTATTCCCAGCTACCAGAAGAATTGCTTGAGCCCAGGAATTTGAGGTTACAATGAGCTATGATCATGCCACTGTACTCCAGCCTAGGTGAAAGAGCAAGGCCCTGTCTCAAAAACAAACAACCCCCCATGTCAACCTAAAATAATGACAAACATTCTCAACTGTTTTTTTTTTTTTTTTTTTTTGAGGTGGGAATGTCTTACTATTTTGCCCAGGCTGGTCTTGAACTCAGCCTCAAGAGATTCTCCTGCCTGGCCCTGCCAAAGGATTATTGGGATGAGCCACCTCACCTGGCTAAAGCAGAGTCTTATCAAGGCAAAATGAATTGTTTTAAATAATAGTCCTTGTCACTGACAAAGGGTCTTGTCTAGAAAACCCCTAAGACTCCACCAAGATACTCCTGGATTGATAAATAAATTCAGCAAAGTCTCAGGTTACAAAATCAGTGTATGTAGATCAGTAGCATTTCTATATACCAATAACAGTTAAGCTGAGAATTAAATAAAAGACTCAATGCCATTCACAATAACTACAAAGAAAATAAAATACCTGGGAATATACTTAACCCAAAAGGTGAAAGATCTCTACAAGGAGAACTATGAAACACTGGGGAAAGATATTGCAAAGAACATAAACAAATGGAAAAACTTGTCTTACTCATGGATTGGTAGAATCAACATTGTTAAAATGTGCATACTACCCAAAGTGATTTACAGATTCAGTGTGATCCCCAGCAAAATAATAACATCATATTTCACAGATCTAGAAAAATTAATTCTGTGTTTTGTTTGAAAGTAGAAAAGAGCCCAAACAGTCAAAGCAAAAAGAGCAAATCTGGAGGCATCACATTACCAGACTTTAAACTATACTACAAGCGTATAGTAATCAAAATAGCATGGTATTGGTGCAAAAATAGAGATATAGATCAATAGAACAGAATAGAGTACCCAGATATAAAACCATATATCTACAACCAAATGATCTTTGACAAAGTGGACAATACATGCTGGGGAAATGATGCCCTAGTCAACAAATGGTGCTGGAGAAACTGGATAGCCACATGCAAAAGAATGAAACAGAAGGCCTATTTCATACTACTCATAAAAATTATTTCAGGTGGATAAAAGACTTAAATATAAGGTATGAAACCATACGAATTCTAGAGGAAGATATATAAAAAACTCTAAATGATATTGGTCTAGGCAAAGAATCTGTGACTAAGATCTCAATGACAATCACAGCAACAACAAAATAAATAAATGATTTGATAAACTAAAAAGCTCCTGCACAGCCGAGGAGATAATTAACAGAGCAGATAACCTACAGAATGGGAGAATCTATTTGCAAGCTATACATGTTATAAAGGGCTAATAACCAGAATCTACAAAGAACTCAAGCAAATCATCAAGGAAAAAACAAACAACAAATAAAAAGTGACCAAAGACATGAATGAACAGAAGCTTTTTGAAAGAAGATAGACAAATGGCCAAAAAACATGAAAAAATTCTAAACACCACTAATCATCAGGGAAATGTAAATCAAAACCACAATGAGATATCACCTTACTCTTGTTAAAATGGCTTTTATTAAAAAGTCAGGAAACAACAGAAGTTGGTGTGGATGCAGAGAGAAAAGGATGCTTATACACTCTTTGTACGACTGTGAATTAGTACAACCTCTATGGAAAATAGTGTGGAGATTCCTTAAAGAACTGAAAGTAGACCTACCATTCAATCCAGCAATCCTACTATTGGGTATCTACCCAAAGGAAAAGAAGTCATTTTATCAAAAAGATACCTGTACTCGAATGTTTATTGCAGCACAATTTACAATTGCTAAGATGTGGACTCAACCCAAGTACCCATCAATTTGTGGGCAGATTAACAAAACATGAAGTATTACCATGAAGTACATACCATGAAGTATATTACTTAGCCACAAAAAGGATGAATTAATGCCTTTAGCAAAAATTTGAGCGGAACTGACTAGAGATCATTATCCTAAGTGAAGTATCCCAAGAATGGAAAAACAAACACTACGTGTACTCACTATTACCGTGTTTCCCCCCAAATAAGACCTACCCCCAAAATAAACCCTAGCAGGATTTCTATGCATTTGTTAAATATCAGCCCTACCCTGATAATAAGACCTAGCGATGGGCATGGCTATCAGATAGCCATGCTTTTCGGTGTGGAGAGGAAGACATCCCCTGAAAATAAGCCCTAGTGTGTCTTCTTGAGAAAAAATAAATATAAGACGGTGTCTTATTTTCCAGGAAACACGGTAAATTGGAACTAACTGATGAGCACACATATGCTCAGAGGAAAGGAAAACTCAGGGGAAATCAAGCAGGAGGAAGGGGGAAGGAGAGAAGAGGCAAGAACCTACGTAATGGGTCCATTTGGGTGATGGACACATTTATAGCTGTGACTTAAGCATTACAAAAGTGACCCATGTAACCAAAAACATTTATTTTCCCTTAGTACTTTGTACTAAAAATAAAATAAAATAAGTCCTTGACTATAAGAATAATAGGGGTGGTTTCATCCAGAGTTGGACAAGAAGTTGCTGGGCAGATATCCTCACAGGGTGGCCGTTATGCATGTTGTAGTTTGGTGAAATCTCTTGCAATAGTTTCTGTTAAAAGGAGAAATCGCTGGTGACACCCCCTACTGCCCTTGTGGTTGCAGGCTCCATTTAGTTTGGTTTTAGTGGTGACTCCATTTTGGTATCGACAACTTTCATATTCCCCACCTGGACTCCAGTTGCCCCCAAACTAAAGTCTCAGCTCCCACTTAAATATGTAATTAAGATCTTTGGTCCCTGCCCTCTCTCTGGGCTGCTTTTTACCTGTTTGCAGATGGGGGAACATGCTTCTGCACCCCAGATGTCTTCTTGGCCTTGCTTACTACTATTTGTACTTCAGGTTTCCACCTATCACCTCCTCCAGGAACCCTTCCCTGCTTCTCCTCCCAGGACAGCTCACACTTCCCCTAACCTGGCCCTTCCCATTCCCTCAACCATGATTGAAAACTCTGTATAGGCTAATGACTATGTCTGTCCTGTTTCCCAGATTGGTGTCTGGCCCACACAGTAGTTGCTTAATTGATATTTGTGGAACAAATGAAGAAAAGGAAAGCTCCGAGTAGTAAAATGTCTAGTCATGTTTATTATTTTGTTAAATTCCTTCCATTGCACGATTCCACATCTATTTATTTTCACTTTTCTTTCTTTCTTTTCTTCTTTTTTTTTTTTTTTTTTTTACAAAGCTATGAGGAATTTCAGAAACAACATTAAAAGGATCATTCAAACTGTTTCAGGCACGGTTTCATATTAAAAGCATAGACTGATTTCTAACTTCCTGTTACCCTCTTTGATACAATCTCAAGTTTTATTCCAGGAAGCACAGTTATGGTAGAGCTAAGGTGGATAGCCACCAAAGCTCGTCTCCCAAGTGCTTTGCTCATTCTCAGAAAGTTCCTGAGTCAACAGAAAGGGGGTTCCCAGGGTAAGGAAATGAAGTGTTGGGCCCCGCAAATGCTGGGCAAGTTCTGCTTCATCAGCTCAAGAACATAAACAAAAATGTAATTTTAAAAAAAGATGGCTTAAAAAAATATCTGATAAAAATTAACCTCTCCCTTTCCCTTGCTGTGAAATAATTTAAATAATTTATTCTAGATGTAAAAAAAAAAAAAAAGAAAAGAAAAGAAAACATGTTTGTTCAAAGACGCCTGTGTCCTCTTTTTAAGTGTGAGGTCTGGGTCCCTTGGGGGCGGGAAGCCTGGGGAGAGATGGTGCTGTGCAGAGGCATGTTGGGAAGCTCTCTGGATGCCACCCCACCTCCACTGCTCGGCAGCCAGTGACCTTGGGCATAACGTTTCTTCACTTCTCTGAGATTGGTCGTCCCTTCTGAACATGGGGATTAAAATGCTTGCCTTCCCTGTGTTAAGAGTAGCAAGTGGAAGTTGTGGAGGTGGGAGGGCTTTGTAAACTGTGAAGTGCTGGCCACAAATGAAGTGGCAGAGTTGACCTCATCCAGGGGAGCTCTGCTTCCCTGGCAACACCTGGGATTTGGCCTTTTGCTCTAGAGCACACTAAGGCAAGCTTGGCTGGCGCTTCAGAGGGGAGTGAGCAGAGTGACTGAGTAAATGGAGAATAAGACAAGGAATGTGGGCACTTGGCCATCTTGTGCAGCCAGACAGGGAAACAGCAGACAGAGAAGGGGCAGATGGGACACAGAGCCCCATCTGTGCTGCAGTTGGTGGTCCCAGAGAGCTTGGGGGGAGCGTGGCTAGGAGGATACGTCTAGTTTTTTTGCAACCACCGTCCAGGACTTAAGATTCAGCTTCAGCTGGTCCAGGGTGGGGCCCAGGCATCTCTATTTCCTGAATGTTTCAAAGGGGATTCTAATGTAGAGCTTGGGTTGAAACCTACCAGGTTAAGTGGCCTCCTGCAGTCACCATCTCAGCTCCAGAATCACCTCATCCAATGGAGAAAACTTATCCTCTGCCCCTCCTCATTAAGGAGAGACAAATGCCTCTTCTGATCATTCTCAGTCTCTTGTTGGGGCTATTGTATTGATCACTTTAGAATAGGGCTCAGAATGCAGATTCACTAAGATGAGATGAAGAAAAACTTTTGGGCCAGAAGGGAACTTCAGGGCCATTTGGTCCCACTTTCTTAACCTAGTATAGTCATCCTTCTCCAGAAGCCCTCCCAGCTAGGTGGCCACAGGCTCTGCTGGCATGCCTACCTCCTAGGGAGCTAACTGGGCTAAAATCCACCTATATCAGTCCTGCAGGAGGCAGGTTGTATACCTGAGGGCTTGGTAGTGGCAGTCAGCAGTCATGGGTACAGCTCTGAAAGTCTGCATCCCCATATAAGGGATAGTATCTACCCAGATCTGGCTGATTCTGGTTAGAGAGGATGGTTTTGACTTCCTGTCTGTGTTCTACAATTCAGCGTTATCTCTCAGCCCTTTGCCAGTGTCTGTGAGTTTCAACAGCAAAACCAGTTCATTACCCCACTGGTAGTTTTCCTCAGGTCAAGATCTTGGGTCCTGTAGAAAGTAGCTCATTTCAGGCTCCTCCTCATTTACAGGGAGAAAGTGAAACCAGAGAGGAAAGAATCTCAAGGCTCACTGAGCAAGGCCGGGCACAGCAAAGCTGGAACCAACAGATTCCTGCTCTGTGGTCTGAGAACTGCATCAGACCCAACACAGCAAACAGAACCAGGAGGCCAGGATCTCAGCCCAGTGCTGCCCTTAAAAGTCATTTGGCTCTCTAGGCCTCAGTTTCCCCACCTGTAAAGTAAGGGCCTTGGGCCAGGTCACTGGTTTTCAAACTTCTAAGTTTTTCTTTTTTTCATAGCAGAATTATGTATTCCATAGCAGCCCGACATATACAATAGACAGAAGGGGAGCTGTGTGGTTGGAACAGGGTGGGGAGCAGGGAGAAACAGCCTTCCTGCTTAGTCTTACCCCTAATCTATGGGCCACAGTTGAAAATCCCAGGCAGGTTGACCTCTTAGGCCTTTAGCTCTAACTTTCTACAATGGTCTTCCCTTTGAGAAGTTACAGCTCATCGTGGACACTTAACACAGAATGAAACAGAAAGGAAGGTATGATCTAGAAACAAAGTCAATTTAGAAACTCTTGTTGCAAGAAGGCAAATAGAAAAACGGCACCACGTCCCACTGGAATCTCTTTCAGCGACTGAGAGTCTTGTTTTCTGATAAAAAATATAGAAATAGTGGTTGTTCTCGGGGGGGACGTGTGGTTTGGTTCTGGACCTCCCCACAAAGCCAAGTGTGTCCCTGAGGGTGAGGAGAGCAGCGATCTCTGCTCAGAGCTGCTCTGAACCCATCCGCAAGTTTTTGATCTCCAGTTCCAACTGTTTGGCCTGGACCTCTCTCTGGGTCACCAGGTCCCGGAGCCTTCGGATCTCCTCCTGTTGCCGGTAGAACATCTGCAGCAGCTGGGAAAGCAGAGACCAGGGGGCAAGATCACCAAGGTATCCTGGGATGTGACGGGGCAGGACAGCAGCAGAAAGGCTAAAACACTACCCTATTTTGACTCAGAAAGGTGGGAGTGATTACATTAAGGCAGTTGAGACCTGAGGGGTGTTTTTTTTTTTTTTCTTTTACAAAAACCTTATTTACATGACCCAATAGGTGAAGTTCAAAAAGACTTGAATGATTCAGAAATATTTTGCCTCCACAGATCCCCTATGGCATAGAGGAGATGACACTAGGCCCTAAAGTCTAGAGATTGGCGTTTTCATCACTGCTAAACTATGTCACCTTGGACAAGTTACTTACCCTCTCTGAGCTTCAATACCCTCCTCTGGGAACTGGGGTCAGGAACTCTCACTGTTTTCATAACTGTTGCCACTGTACAGAATGGCTAGTAAATATGACTGTCCCCCTAAGGACTTTCATTACCCACTGGATGTTCCTGGCACCTGATCAGAGTGGTGGTGTTAGCACCCCCTCTTTACCGCGGTAGAAGCTGAAGCTTAGAGACATTCAGCTCCTGGCTGAAACCCTGCAGGTAGCACCTGTAGAGCCAGGATTGCATTCCCTCTGTGGATACCAGCCCTGCTCCATGACACACTGGCCTCCAGGGCTGTGGAGAGAATTCAGTCACATGCTACATCAAAGTGCCTACCCCAGGACGTGGCACACTAACTAACGTTGGGCACTTAACTAACACTGACTCTGAAGGCAGAGAAAATCCTAGAATGCCAGAACTGGGAGGGACTGTAATACCTACTAGGTCAAACTCTCTGCATTTTACAGATGATTCCCCACCATCTTTATGTATACATGTCATTTCAGCATACAAATGAAATGGCATCTATATTTTTTTGTTTTATGTTTTCTGAGTCTTGCTCAACTAAGAGTGCACTGGCATAATCATAGCTCACTGCAACCTCAAACTCTCAGGCTTAGTGATCCCCCTACCTTACCTCCTGAGTAGCTGGGACTATAGGTGCGTGCCACTATGCCTGGCTATCTATTTTTTGTAGAAATAGGGTCTCAATATTACCCAGGCTCTGTTTGTTGAATAAAGTAACAAAGCGAGTTAACAATTAGGCAACACAGCTGATTATTCTCACCCTCATTCTCTCCCTCCATCTTAGACGTGATCCCCATCCCCCACCCCTACCCAGCTGCCCCCTGTGAAGGCCCACCCCACCCCACCCTCATTCATACCTCATTCTCTGTCTTTGGTGGGGGGCATTCGAAAATGTCAAAGCCATTTGTGAGCCAGGATTTCTTCTCCAGCCTGTATTCTGCTGACCACATTGGTACCTTCTCCTGCAGCAGAGAGGGAGGCCTCCAGCCATCCTCTGCAGCCTGGTTTTCTGCCTGGTGAGAGGCCTGTGAGGCCAGGCCCATAGAGTTGAAGACTGGTCTATCTAGAAGTGGTGGCCGGGGGCTCAGCAGCTCAGAGCCAGGCCTCAGGGACACCAGGACTGGCCCTGGGAGGGAAGCAAAGAACTGTGTGAGGACTGATGGGCAGTGGTGGCACCAATATGGCCAGGCATGCAGAGCACAAAGACAGCCATGCAGAACCAATTAGATGCGACAGATGGAGGAGACACAGTCACATGCAGATACACACAAACCCATGGACTGGGGCGATCAAGTACAAATACCCATGTGTGCACCCATCCTGGTGAGGCTTGGTTTGTAGGAGCAGCACAGCACATGCACAGGAGCTGCCCCGAAAAACACTATGAACCCTGCAAGTGAAGCCTTGTCCTAGCTATGTAAATACAGTCCCACCCACATTGCACTCTTCATCCACCAAGTTCACTAGTCCGCCCAGCACTCCCAGGGAAGCTGAGACCTATCTAAAGGTTATTCAAAACTAGGACCTGGCAACGGTTTCCTGTCTCCCAGGAAGGGGCTCTTCCAGGCTACCAGGAAGCCTCTCAGCCAATGGGCTGGGTGAATGAAATGTGGGGGTGGGGTTGGGGGTGGGTGGTTGGAGAGGGGAGGGAGCATCTGGGATGGGGGTAGGCAGGAGAGGAACAGCAGTTCAGATCAGGCAGAACCACTGGGTAGGGGGTTGCTGCTGGCAAAAGGCCTGGGTGGGGGCTACTGCCTAGATGGCCTCTTGGGTCAGGGGTGGGCGCAGGGAGTCTGGCACCCTGCACAACCACATAATGTTTTCCATGGAGCAAAGTGTTTTGCGCTAGAGAGAGTTTTTTGAGCTGCTAGGGTCAAGGCCCCTGCCTTCTTGAACCCGTATGTGACTACCTTGCCACTGGGGACTGACTGTCCAGGGCCTGGCCTCTGAGAATAAAAATACAGGCCAAACCCCTCTTAGCTGCCTGGGACCACTGGTTATCCTAGGTTTCTGCCACATTTGCCCAAGGCTCTTTGTCTGCCTTCCTCACCTCTGTTCATCCCATTGAGCCACTCCTGGGCCGTCAGAGACGGCAGGGCCCCCGCTGTTGGAGGGTAGATGTCTTCTTGGTAGGATTCCGACTGCAGGAGAAGTTCAGACAGTCAGGGGGCAATGGAGTAAGTTGCCCAGATAGGGAGGGCCCTTAAAACTAGGGTCTAGGCACTCCCCAGCCTCTGCTAAATTGGAGAAATCAGGGCACAGCAAGTAAGGACACTTGTCCAAGGTCACAGAGCAGCTCAGGAGCAGAAATGGGGTGAGGCAGAGGCAGAGGACTCCTGATGCTCAGGGATGGCACACTGACCATGAGAAAGGCCTCCCTATGGCTGCCCTGAGGACATGGGCTCCCGGCTCTGGCACCTTGACACCCGGGTCTGTCATCTCCAGGATGGATTCCCTGCCTCCCTCCCAGATGGCCCCTACCACTCTTACCCGCCGGGGCACAATCATGGATATGGGTTCGACGAGGCTTTTGGTTGTGATTAGCTTGTAGAAGCGGAAGATCTCACAGGAGGACACATCGAGGCCTCTCTTTGGCATCACACCTGTAGGCAAACAGCCAAGGAAAGCCAAGAGGTTCTGGCTGGGCTGGGGCCACAGGAACCCACATGAGGGCCAAGGCCAGGCCCTGGTCATGAACAGAGAATGCCTGCCTCTCGCTGTCCTTCCCTCAACAAACAGCTCATGAACAAATACCTGAACTGGGCTGGGACCTGGGGCGGGAAATAATTCGACTCTGTCTCCACCTTTGACAGTTTCGGTTATTTCTGTCAACTTGTATAGGCAGTTTGCGCTGCTCAAGACTCCCTATCTCTACCCCCACAGCTCCTGTGACCCAAATGCTCCTCCAACTCTCTTTTAAGAAGTTGGGATTGCATATCTTTCTCCAGCCTTTTACCCCTTTGATTTTAATCTATCTGTGCCTTTATGTTTAAAGTGGTTTCTTTTTTTTTTTGAGACAGAGTCTCACTCTGTTGCCCAGGGGTTAAGTGCCCTGGTGTCATAGCTCACAGCAACCTTAAACTCCTGGGCTCAAGTGATCCTCAGACTCTTGAGTACCTGGGAATACAGGTGCCTGCTACAATGCCTGGTTAGTTTTTTTAGTTTTACTAGAGACAGGGTCGCACTCTTGTTCAGGCTGGTCTCAAACTCCTGAGCTCAAGCAATCCACCTATCTTGGCCTCCTGGAGTGCTAGGATTACAGGTGTGAGCTACTCTGGCTAAAGTGGGTTTCTCATAGATAACACATGGTTGGGTTTTTCATCCTCAAACACACTTATGAAGGAGGTGGGATTGCTTCCTGGAGGTCAACCTCTTCCACCTCCCTGCTATTGTTCTAACCATGACCTACAGTACTTCCTCCTCTCCCTGTGCTGTGCTGATGCATCTTTCAGCTCCCCAGTAGTTCCCTCCTCTAGTCAGAGTGTCCCTCATGCCATCTCTTCTGCTGACTCATCCCTGTCTCCCCAGCACTGAAGCCCTGACCCCAAGTTGCCTTAGTGTCCCTCACTCACCGATCCCCTTCTGTGGGTTATAGGAGCGGTACTCAGTCAGGTAGCTCAGGTAAGGCTTGTCGGTGTTCACCTCGTAGTAGCGGATGTTGCCATCTCCCTGAGGAGGAGGAGGGAGAGAGTCAGAGTGGGAGCACACCAGCGAGCCCTGATGCCATGCAGCAAAACCTGCCTCCCATAGTGTGAACAGCTGGCAAACCCATCTCACACAAGGAAACACCAGGGACTCGAGGCCTGTCACCAAGGCAGGAAAAGAGGGTCTTCATTTGAATGCTCAATCTCCAAAGCTCGCCCTCATTCCTCCAAGACAGAAGTTCTAGGAGGAAAGGCTCAAATACCACTCCTATTGAGAACTACACACAAAGCTCAGAACTGGCATGTCCTTGGAGTCCACTGAGTGGATAGGAGCCTTGGAGGACACTCCTGGTTGTCATAATGACTTGGGTAGAGCAGGGAGAGATGCTATTTCTGGCATTGGTGGTGGCAGTGGGTTGGAGCCACGGATGCCAAATGTCAGATAGTCCTACCCAGTGAAGACCTTTTCTGCCCCAAGTTCAACAAGTGCCTCTGCTGAGTAGCACTAGTGATTCCTCCTCATCTGGACCCAGATTTGGGGAAGCAGTTTAGGCTGTCTAGCCAAACCCTGGCCCCAGGTGTTCATAGAGAGCCAGGAAGGTGGAAGCCAGGTGCTCTTCCACAGGGGAAGAGTGGCCAGTGACTCTTGCCTATCTCTGCCTTACGTTCCCAGTAACCCCAGCCTGTGTCTGGGCTACCAGTGGGGCTAAGATAGGGATATTTCCGTTTCCTGTCTCAGGGACTCAGGTGTCCACAACCCTCTCATGCCAGGCTGACCTTCCCCACCAAGTAGAGCATGTTGGTGTCTGCATCGTAGAAGGGAAACAGCACTCCTGAGGAGCCGTCCAGGTCCTCCTCTGTGAGAGGTACAGAGAGGTCATCCTGCAAGAAAAGGGGAGACCGGCAAGGCCCAGGTCACTCCTGGAGCCCTCGATAGTGTTCTCTGAGATAAGAATTCCTGCTCTGATGCTCTTGGGGGGCTTGTGTGAGTATGAAAGAGAGAAAGTCTGATCTTGTCTATATGTACTGGGGGAAGATGTCCCTGATTCTTGAGATCCAATGTGTGGGATATTCATTGGTGGAGATGACATTTTATTTATTTATTTATTTGAGACAGAGTCTGACTCTGTCACCCTCAGGAGAATGCCATGGTGTTATAGCTCACAGCAACCTCAAACTCCTGGGCTCAAGCGATCCTCAAGACTCAGCTTCCTAAGTAGCTGGGATTATAGGCGTGTCCCATGACGTTGACCTATTTTTTTTTTTGGACACGGGGTCTTGCTCTTGCTCAGGCTGGTCTTGAACTCCTGAACTCAAGGCCCACCTAGGCCTCCCAGAATGCTAGAATTATAGGTGTGAGCCGCTGCGTCCTGCTGGAGATGACATTTTAAAGCCAATAAAAGGCCCCGTCACCTATTTTATCAGCTTTCTGCCCCTAACAATTACACCTTCAACACACTTGATTGTATTCCACCCCTCTATCCATCCATCTTTTGTTTTTTTTTTTTTTGCAGATTTTGGCTGGGGCTGGGTTTGAACCCACCACTTCCAGCATATGGGACCAGAGCCCTACCCTTTTGAGCCACAGGTGCCGCCCATCCATCTGTTTTTGTTTTTTTTAAAATTCATTTTAATAGATGAAGGAGATTCAGAGGCAAGGAGGGATTTGCCCAGTCTTTGAAACTTCTGCTAAGTGCTCCTCTAAACGATACTGTGGCCTGGGCCCCACCCTCAACTGCCCACCACAAGGTCCTTCTGCCCACACCCATCTGTCTCCTTCCAACCCTTTGCTCTGCTGCTCCCTCCACCCAGAAGGCCCTCTCCTCCTTTCCCATAGTCCCAGCCCCAGGTTCAGGCACCTCCCCTCCCCAGGCCAGTGCCCTGACCCATCGCCCTCATTGGGTGGCAAGATCTGGACAGATGGGTGGGCAGCACCTCCCTTTTTATCAGTACTGGGTCCCCAGGACCTGGCAGACTAGGCTAAATGTGTGAGAAATGAACAGGTAGATGAATGATGCCTGTGAATGAATGCAGCCAGCTCTCAGCTGCAGGGTAGCTGTAGGAACAGCAGATGCTGTGAGACTCACCTGGTCCCACAGGGCCATCTGCCGGTTGTTCCATCGGGATGTGCCCGTGGACAGCAGCTTACTCAGGTTCCCGAGAAACAGCACCTTGTTGGCCCGGTGTCCCTTGTAGCTGGCTTCCTGTGCAGGAGGTGTTGGAGAGAAGTGACTCCAAGGTGGCAGCTGGGGTTTCTGGCCTCCATGCCTTGCTTCTGGTCCATTTGAAAGGCCTCCTTTTCTCACCCCAACTCTGCCTAGAGAGTCTTTCTAGGGACACCACTTCCTGGAAGCCTTCCTAGATCCCTCCCTCTCCTTACAAGTTTTGTTATTTTTCTGATCAAGAACAGGGGTAAACCCTGCTCCATGGTCTTGCTGGAAGAGTAATGAGCACACACCACAGGGGAGGTATGGTGCTAGGTGGACATTGTCACACGGGGGACGACTAACAGCCCATTGTTGCAGATGAGAAAACAGAGGCTCTGAGCAGAAAGCGCTTGCCTAAGGCTACACGGTGGATAAACGGTGATGCCATCAGTTCTCCAGCGACAGAGCTGAGGCAAACTGACATGTTTCAGCTCTCAATATGGATAAAGCACTTCATCTTTCTTTGGCCTCAGTTTTCACATCTGAAAAATGGAGCTGATATATCCCACCTCCCAGCAATGTCGCAAGGACAGGTGGAGATACTACCTGTGAGGGCCTGGCCCAGACACTGACAACATGACCGTGTTGTTCTCAGAAGCCTCCCAGACCCCACTACCTCTTGCTCTACTGCCCCCAAGCCAGACCCTGGCCCAGAGCTGACCTGTAGGACATTCCCTGCTCGGGGGTCAAGAATCCGAATCTTGCGGTCTTTACAGGTGGTGGCCAGCAGGCTTCCATTGGTGTTGAAGGACATGGAGAGGATCACATCTTGGTGACAGGTAATGGTCCTCACGGGGCTAACGATGACAGACTCCTTTGTATCCAGGTTCCAGACCATCACCTACATGGCAGAGAGCCATCTCTGAGCACAGTGGCCACCCTGTGCCCCTGGCCCCCACAGTCACATGCTGGCTGGGCTGCAGTGAAACACGGTATCCCCAGGAGGGAAGTGCAGCTGGCAGCCTGGACAAGAAGCCTGGGGTGGGAGGATGGATCTGTCAGCTGTGGCTGCACATGGCAAGAGGGGAAAGCCCAGAGTCAAGCTGTCCAGCAGGGAAAGGAAAACACCACCTGCCTTTGAGCAACTGAACATGCTGGGAGGACCCCAGTGAACCAGATAATCCAGGGGGTTTCAAATAATTATCATCAGCAGTTTCCAGTTCACACAGATAGAGAGGACTGCCATGGTAAGCTGCACCGGCTATGCATTGCACAGCTCCCGGGAATCCGTTCCCATAGCCTGCGATGTCAATAGCGCCCTCTGGAGTTATCATAAAATAACTGGCACAAGCACATGCAGTGGCCTTGCAGAAACACCCTCCAGGAAAAGATTTAAAAACCACTTCTAAGCAGAAAGGGGTAGAAGCCACTTTTATCCATCACAGAGGGCCCTGAGGTGCCCTATAAAGTTGGCAGGAGCTGAAAAGCCATAGCAATGGTCCCACCAACCCTATTTGTGTACAGATTGGGGAACTGAGGCCTGGAAAAGACAAGGGACTTTCCCAAGTCCTACTGCAAGTCAGAGACTGGGCTGGATGAGACTATAGGCTCCTGTACATGAGTTCCGATCCATAGGCCCCACAGCCTAGGCAGGCAGTGAAGTTGGGGGCAGGCTGGGGGAAACTTCCTGTGCAGGACCAGCCTGTCTCCTCTAGGCAGAAACAAGTTGAAGAGTGTCCCTCCAGACTCATGTCCACCTGTGACCTTATTTGGAAATAGGGTCTTTGCAGATGAAATTGCTTAAAGTGAGTTCACTATGGACGAAGGCAAGCTCTAAATCCAATGACAGGTGTCCTCACCGGAAGAGGAAAGGACACACAGATACACGGGAGAAGGCTGCGTGAAGACAGAGACTGGAGGGAAGCAGCTCCAAGCCAGGATGCCTGGAGCCACCAGAAACCACAAGAGCATGGAAGGATTCTTCCCTAGAGCCTGTAGAGGGAGCTGGCTCCCCCAACACCTTGATTTTAGATTTCTGGTTTCCAGAACTGTGAGAGAATAAATTTCTGTTGTCTTAAGCTACCCACTTTGTAGTAATTTCTTAGAGCAGCTCCAGAAAATGAATATGTGGGCTCACCTTGTAGTCATAGCCGCAGCTGAAGAGGATGTTGGCAGCTGTGGGGTGCCATTCTACCAGGCCCACTCTGCGTGAGTGGCCCAGCAGCTCCTTCCTGTAGGCTGTGAGGTTCTTTGCCAGTAGTTGCTTGGGGATGCCCCAGATCTTAATCTAGCAGGGGAGACAGGGCCCAAGGAGTGTTAGCCAGGGGCACCTTGGCACATATATGACAGTGACCCAGAGAAGCATCAGGGGAACTCTCCATAGCCACCTCACACTCAGTGTGGGGCAGCTGGGGACCCTCAGAGGGACAGGAAGGTCCTAGCCTGAACAGGGGCTAGCACTACCCAAAGATGAGCCTAGGCCTCAACATCTGCCCTTGGGGGATCTTTGACATCCTGATAGCCTAAGGTGGTAGGTAGGTGAGTGGGCTGCAGGCCTATCTTCTAGCCTAGAATATCCCTGAAAATAGGATGATCTTGGCTTGGCGCCTGTAGCACAGTGGTTAGGGCACTGGCCACATGCATCGAGGCTGGCAGGTTCGAACCCAGCCTGGGCCAGCTAAACAACAATGACAACTGCAACAAAAAAAATAGGTGGGTGCTGTGGTGGGCACCTGTAGTCCCAGCTACTTAGGAGGCTGAGGCAAGAGAATCACTTAAGCCTAAGAGTTGGAGGTTGATGTGAGCTGTGACGCCACTGCACTTTACTGAGGGTGACATGGTGACACTCTCAAAAAAAAAAAAATAAGATCATCTACTCTTCCTTGTCCCAAAGGCCCAGGGTGGAGCCTCAAAGGCCAGGATGAAGGATTTATATTGCATCCTCAGGGCACTAGGGAGCCAGCACAGTCTCTAGAGCAGGGCAGGGCAGGGCAGGGACAAGCTTCTTGGTTTGGAGGGGCACCTTGCATAGCCCGGAAGAGGAAAGACTAAAGGCCAGGAGGCTGGGCTGGATGGGGTTTAGTCCCTTTTCTCATGGTGAGGGCCTGAGAGGAAGGGATGGGTCTTCCCAGAGCAGTGTTGCCTGCAGGTGGAAGGGGCTGCCGAGGTCCCAGTCATGGAGGTATACAGATGGAGGTAGAGGGAGATGCTATAGAGAGGGACAGAGCCCAGGGTGGCGCTGACTTGATGTTCCTTGTCCTGCAAGGATCTCTGGTCCCCATAGTGATTATACATGCTGTTTCTCTTAGAGGAATACAGATCTTTCAGCTAAACAGCTTTGCTTTCAATTCAGCAAATATTTAGTTCCTGGTCTTCTTGGATTTAAAACCAGGAAACCAACCGAATGAGCATAGTGCCAGGCTCCAGACAGATGGATCTGGTGAGAGATGTTACTGCACAGATCTGGACCCTGGGTGAATGTCAGGGAAATGTCTGGGTGGTATAGGCATCAGCCCCATGTAGAAGCAGGGAAGACTGCCCACTCCCCAGGCCAGAGGGTCAATCCTACCCTCCAGGTCCTGGGGGTGGGGAGGAAGCTGCAGAGCACTTGACACAAATGAATTTACTCCATGAATTCATTTTGAGAGTGACAGGCTGCAGGGAGGAAAGGCATTGTCACTCCCAGCAATCTCAATTGTCCCCTTCCCCTTTCCCCATGGCATCTGGGAAGGGACTGTGAATGGTTTTTCAAAAAGACCTTGAGGGAGCATTCAAAGCAGGCCTGAAAGGGCAGGTACTATAAAAGTGGAGAAGTGTCAGATATGAGCTATCCTACCAGAGGCCCTACACTCACCGGAGACAGGGCCTGACTGCCCCTGAAATCACCTTGCAGGACATTGCCCTTTATTTCCTCAGCATCTCTTAAAAAGAAAGTGACCTGGGTCCTCTTAGAATTCTCTCCCTTCCTTACCCAATGAACTGGTCAGCTGATTCAACAGTGAGGGTTCTGCAATATATTCTATTTCTCTTTTTTGCTTTGGCTGCCAGGCAGCTCTGAACTAAACCAGGTACTCAGCTGCTGCAACCCTCTATAGCTGACATTTCTAGTATTTCCTCACTTCCTCCATCTGTGGCTGTTTCTCTATAAGGAAGTGGCACAGCTCAGTGGAAAGAGAATGGGCTCTGGATTCAGGCCGCAGTCCAAAGCCTGGCTCCACCTCCCTAACTGGGTAACCTTGGGCAAATGGTTGCACCTCTCTGATCCTTAGAGTCTCCATCCGAAAAATATCCTACTTTGTGTGGTTTCTGGGAAAACTGAGTTAAATGATGAGTATAATGACAGTTGGGGACACAGTGGGGTCACAAGAAATGGTAATTATGACTTTAATTTTAATCAGCTGTGTTTTTTTGTTTTAAGCCATATCCTCCATATTTTAAAAGTCAGTACAAAATGAATTAACACTAAACATTGTAGGGACAGGGAACTATGACCATGTATGGATCAGAAGCTCAAAAAAATATGGTGGGACTAAAGCTTTTGGCAAAGTTCTAGTGTCCTTATTCACATAAAGCTCTCATTCTCATTCTTTTAAAGCTCTCATTCTTCCTCACTGTGTGAGGGTAAGTGGAACTAAATTTTCTGACCACAACAAAAATCCCCTTATAGCATTTTATAGTTCCCCCAAAGGATGGGCTGTGCTGCCCGAATATGAATTTCACTGGCTCTTCCTTAGACAGGTGAGATACCCATAGAGAGGAGAGGTGGCCTAAGTCCCACAGTGCTCAGAACTAACCAACGTAACCCGCCTCCTCAGCCTAACTTAACCCCCCCCTACAAACACTCACAGTAACCTCAGAGCTGAAAGAGTTGGAGGCACCAGGGCTGAGTACAGGCACCATTCCACCCTGCTCTGCCCCAGTGCTGCTCTTCAGGAAAGGGAAGAACTCATGGGCTGACACTCACCGTGGTGTCTTCAGAACAGGATGCAATCTCAAAATCATCAAAGGGGTTCCACTTGACATCTAAGACGTTCCCTCTGTGCCCGCAGACCTTTGGGTAGTGGGGGTCCAACTTTCCTGTCTGTAAAACAGTGCCCAGGAGGGTTGAGGAGAAGACTAATTCAAATTTAGCATCTGGACAGTCACTCAGTAAGCAATCAGTGAATAAACAGGAAAATGTAAAAGACAGAACTGGGTGTGAATCTAGGCCTTTATATTAATTCCCCGTATGATCCTAGGGGAGTTACTTCATTGCCCTGAGCCCCACGGCCCTCCTTGATAAAATGGAGGCTAACACAGCTATTTTACAGGTTGGTGTGAGGATCCTAGGAGACTGAGGTATAGACAAGGTCAGGCACAGTGCCTCCCACATGGTATACGTTCAATAAAAGGGCACTTCCAGCATACACTGCTGGCGGGAATGCAACATGTGGCAACCTTTTTGGAAAACAATCTGGCAATTTCTC